TTCATGGCACTTTCAGTATTCTCCTCCAACACCACAACTCAAAGGCATCAATTCTTCTACGATCTTCCTTATTCACTGTCCAGCTTTCACATCCATATGGCCTGGGTCTGGTCTATAGGAAGCAGGACACAGTCCTCGTCCTCGTCTACACGCCTACGCTCCCACACTGTCACGTAGTCTCTTTCGCTAACTACTGCAAATGCTGCTTCCTTTCTCACACTAAGGTCTTCTCCCAATGCTGAGATCTCTAATAACTTCTCTGTGGTGTTGTTGGAATTTCTGGTGTGGTACGGTTAAGTCCCTTCAAGTCAGTTCCGACTCATAGAGACCCTGTATAGGGTTTCCAAGAAGCAGCTGGTGAATCTGAACCACCAGCCTCACGGCCCAGTGCATTATCCCACAGCGCCACACCATGGCTCCAACTTCTCTATAGTTACCTAAAAGGGCAATGGTGGCAGTATAGGATAAGCATTGGACTGCTAACCACAAGGTTGACAGTTCAGGTCCACCAGATACTCAAGAGGAGAAAGATAAGGTTTTCTGTTCCCATAAATATTTATAGCTTCAGAAATCCTATGCAGGGTCCTTAGGGTCTCAAACTCTCAAACCTCCACTGAGCAGTATTGTTCTTATAATTGTGACATTCTGCTTATATTTAAGCTACCTTTGAGCAGTGATCCTCAAACTTTATGTGCATCAGAAGCACCTGAAAAACTAGCAAATATGAGGGGGCTTCAAAAAGTTTGTGGGGAAAGGCCATTATCTTTAAATTTCATTTTCCATTCATTTATTGAAGCACTGATTGCTGAGCCTAAGAGTCTACGTCTCGAACGTGTTACCAGCTGGTGCTCATAGTGCTGGGCTAAGGACCACTGTAGGACTCACTGCCTTTTGTTTGGTCCACAAATCTGATAAAAGCTATGAAAATATGCACCTACACAAAAATGAGACATGTAATTTCAAGGGGTTCATGGATGCCCATTCATAGATATCCTCTACTTGAATCTTCCTAAGGAATGTTAAGACCTACTGTTCCTGACTTGACAAATGTTGCTGTTATGTTGTGAAGTGCCATCAAGTCGGTTACAACGCATAGCAACCCTGTAGGGTTTTCCAAGGAGTACTCAGTGGGTTTGAACTGTTGACCTATCCGTTAGCAGTCCAGTGCTTATCCTACAGTATCACTAAGAAGTGCTATTTGTGGTATGTTGTTGTTGTTAAGTGCTGTTGAGTTGGTTCCAACCCATAGCGACCCTACTATATAGGGTTTCCAAGGAGCAGCTGGTGAGCTTGAACCGCCGACCTTGCAGTTCAAATGACTTTGTAGTCCAGCGCATTAACCCACAGAGCAATTGTTGTTGTTAAGTGTTGTTAAGTAATCTTTACGGGAGCAGAAAGCCTCATCTTTCTCCCGCGGAGCAGCTGGTAGTTTTGAAATGGTGACCTTGCGGTTCGCAGCCTGATTCATAACTACTATGCTACCAGAGCTCCTTAAAATTAAGGATGAAACTGCTAATATTAGAAAGCAAGTTCTGTCCAACTGGCTGCCCTCTCGAGTCTTTCACCTGCATGTGACAATTTTCTATATCTCTGGTCTTACTCTCAAAAGCAAAAGACTCGTTATTTAGAATTTAAAAGGATCTCCTTCGCAAATGGTCTGGCGGAAAGAACATGAACTTTGGATTAAGACAAACCTAGATTGAAATCCGGATTCTGTCTTTCCAAAAGCTGTGACCACTGAGCTTCAATGTCTCCATCTATAAAACTGTGAATCTTAAAGGGAAATCAATTTTTCCCTTCCAGGCAAAGACAATGTGAACCAATTATAAAGAACAAAAGGGGGAGTGGTTTTACTTTTAAAAATCAAAGACTTATTTATGGTAGCATCTTAATATTGTATAGAGAACAATTATCTTAAGAAAGTAAAAAGACTGAACTAAATAATTTAATATGTCTTAAAAATCCAGAATTTTGTCATTTATAGACTCTAATTGGCTAGTACATCATTATTTACTTACATATTTTGCTTTATAAACAATCATTTACTCTTAAATTTAATTCAGAGCATAAGTTCCTTAAAAAACAATCATGACTTTTGTTTTGCCTTCTTTTTGTTTAGCAATATTCCAACATCTACTGAAAAAAACAAATCATAATAATCAATAATTCGCCTTCCCTCATGGGCCTATGTGAAATATACCTCTTCAACACAAAAGAGACCCTTTTTTTAGTATTTTCCCTCTGTCTTTTAACAGATAAACAAAATCCATAATTCATCTGTAATCTATACAATAAGATTTCTCAAGATTTAGCTAGTATAGAGATAGCTAATTCTGTATGTCTTCTTTTATAAAGGTCTATACTTTCTCAGTCTACAATCCTTTAAATGTTTTGTAGGAGGCTTGAAAGTGAGTGTAATGTGAGTGAATGTGCACAAAGAATTACCACCAAAACCCTAGGTTCGAACAGCTGGACACACCCGAAGTTTCAGACAGTTTATCTAGACATACCTCCTGTAGAAGACGAGGATCCAAGCAGTCACCGTCATCATTAAACATAGACTCCCAGCTCTCCTCAGTATCATTGCTTCCTTCCATGTGTGAAGTTTCCATGGCTTTTGGGTCCTTGGATTCTGATTCCGTATCAGGAAATGATGTATCAAATTTTATATGCTCTGAGTCACCTTCCTCTTTTGTTTTTAACTTTTCGGCAATTCTTAGTTCGTGAAATTGTTCTGTGATATCACCAGCACAATTCAGATCATTGCCCAAGGCACTATCTAGAAGTACTTTTGTCCCATTTAACATACTGAGTTCAGAGTCCAAAAAAGTATTATAATTACTAACAGCAATCTTCTTTATAGGTAAGGAGGAAGCACAATCTGACAAGCTCTCTATCAACTTTCCTGTTGACTCTGTAAAACTAGATGAAATACTCTCAGCATAAATATCTGAGCAAGCCCTCAAGATGCTGAAATTTCCAGTGTCATTTCCACTTCTAGCTACATGAGGAGGGGCTGTGTCTATACTTGTTCCTATACATTCTGAGACACTACTTATATTGCTATTGGCCTCATCAACTATTCTAACTTCAAATACACACGGGCTGCCCACAGTTACAAGATCGGATGTGGCATCTGGAAAGTCCATCACACATACCTTACTGGTAATGTTACCTATACTATTAGATCCATTATCTGTATATGTTTCATGAGCACGGGCAGGTGTATCAGATGGTTCATACTTTACACATAACTCATCAGCAGTGCTGACATTCTTCTCACACTCTCTAATCATTGTGGAATCAAAAATGCCATCTGTGTTCTCTAAATTGCTAACTCTAGTCATCTTAGGAGTGATGTGACCCAGAGCCTCAGGAATGGACTCTATACTTTTCTGACTCAAGATGAAACCTGTACTGTTGTCTATGTCACCTAAAGTCTGAGCTCCAGAGTCTACACAAGTTTGATGAATGACACTATATGGATTTGCAAGATCAGAAACAGAAGTGATGCCTCCATTGCTGAGCTTCCACACTCCACCTGATGTCTCCATATCTTGCTGTATAATTCCAGAGTCAGAGTTTGGTTTTAGTGGTGCAATTATGCCCTCCGGTTTCAAGGCAGAATTGAGGTCTCCAGGAAGCTGGGATATTATCTCCACAACCTTGGAATCAGTTTCAGTTCTGCTTTCCAAATCTCCAGCTTCAAATATTTCCCCATTTTGTTCATGCTTACTAAAATCAGAGACCCCCACGTTTTGGAATGGTTCAGTAAGAACCTGAGCCTCAGTGCCTTCTGAACAAGACTGTGATGGAAGCATATCCTCATGGACTATCACATCTGTGGTTTCAACCTCTACACACTCTACCTTCTTTGGCTTAAAATGTTTTTGTAAAGGTATACTAGATATAATCTCAGGATTTGCAACTTTTTGTTGATGTCTTTGAAGTAATACTTCTTTGGATTCTGTGGTCACCCTCTTAATAAAAACTCTATCTTTATTTCTTTCTTGAAAGCATGTGTCTTTTCTTAATTTTGTTGAAGATTTCTTTCTTTCCCTACGATTGTCTTCCTTTCTATCAGGATTGGTATCTTCTCTCTGAGCCCCAGGTTCTTTTTGTTCTCCTTTCACCAAAGACTTGGATGGGCCACAGCATTTCTCCTCATTACCTGCTGCCTTACAGAGTGCCACACCCCTCCGAGCTTTGGGTACATAAAGTGCCATGTCAGGCCTTCTGGCTCGAACTCTGCATCTCTCAATTTCTTGCTGCATGGCACCTCCTCAATCTGCAAGAAAGAGAGAATGATCTAATTATCAGAAACTAATTACAATTTATTGAACCAAGAGATTTTTAAAGACTAGGTTGTTGTTGCTGTTGTTATGTGCCGTGGAGTCGGTTCCGGCTCATAGCAACCCTGTACAGGGTTTCCAAGGTTGTAAATCTTTACGGAAGCAGAAAGCCACATCTTACTCCCGCAAAACAGCTGGTAGTTTCGTACTGCTGAACCTAAGATTAGCAGCCCGATTCGTAACCACTACGGTACCAGAACTCCTTACCATCCTAGAGAAACTCTCAAGTTAAAAAAAGTAAAATCTGCTATGAAATAAGTCAAGCAAATAAGCAACTAAAGAGAGAACAGATTCCAAAATCACTCAGGAGTCCATGAATTTTATTAACATTTATTTTCTTTTTATGTTCCACAAAACCTTTTATTTCGACTTCTCAAGTCCATTCTGTTTTTGTAACAAATTCCTTGCCTTAAGTCCTGATATTGTGCCATACCATAAGCACTGCACTGCTAACTACAAGTTTGGCAGTTCAAATCCACCAGTTGCTCCTTGGAAATCCTATACAGGGGCAATATGAGTCAGAACTAACTCCATGGCACTTAACAACAACAACAACAAGCTGAATAAGGAGTCCTGGTGTGGCACTATAGGATAAACACTGGACTATTAACAACAAGGTTTGTGGTTCAAACCCACCAGTCACTCTTTAGAAACCCTATACAGGGCCAATATGAGTTGAGACATACTCAACAGCACTTAACAATAAAGCTGAATTAAAAACAGATTCTTATGAAAACAGTAATATCCAGCCATCAAGTATTCATAAAACAAAACTGTCTCTATAGTCTAGAAGCTTAGAATTTATATTGTAGGGTATATTCAAGGAGAACTAAAAGATATACTTTTTCAACACAAATGCCTATATGATAGTTAAACTTTTGTGTCAACTTTACTGGGACAGGCTTCTCAGTGGTTTCCAGTTAACATGCAGTAATTGCTCAGGATAAGATGTACTGTGATCTGATGTGATAAGCCCAGGTCTGATGTAATTACACATGTGTTGTCAATCCTCGCTTCCATGATGCTAATGAAGTCGGATGCAATCTACAGGAATAGGTTGGACCACCAGCCAATCTCTTTTTAAATATAAAAGGAGAGAGAAGTGAGCACAGAAAGAGGGACCTATTACCACCAAGAAAGAAGAGCTGGGAGCGGAAAGTGTCCTTTGGACCTGGGGTCCCTACACTGCACAGCTCCTAAACCCAGGGAAAGACTGATGCTAAAACACATGGAAATCTCCAAGCCTTTGTAACTACTTCAAGGGGGTTTCAAAAAGATCACTGAAAAACTCCATAGTCGTTCAATTTCATTTCAATTCCATGCTGGGTTGTTGAAAGGAGACAAGGACCTTTCTCCAGAGATGGTTCTCTGAAGTTGGACTTCTACTCTCCCAAGCTGTGAGAGAATCCATTTCTGTTTGTTAAAGCCATCCACTCGTGGCATTTCCATGATAGCAGCACTAGATATACAAATAAATACAATGATTTTTAAGACTGACTTGAATGGGAAAGGTAGTTAAAACTATACTTGGGGCCTTGAAAATGAGAAGAGCTAATCAGAGACTGCTTTTTGGAATACATAGCTTTTGAAGTATCATTTTGTTTATGAAAGAGAAGCATTATTTTTATTAGTGTTAATTAGACAAGTGACTTACTATCAATTTTCTGTGTTTCCAGCAGCAAGAAAATACATCTAAGTAGGATGAAGGAGGGAGGAAACCAAGAAAACTCAAGCTAGTAATTTCCTGGCTTACTTCCACCATAGTTGGTTAAGGAATTTAACAAGGGGAAGAAATTAAACAAAGGTCACATAAGCCTTGATCTCCTAAAAGGGGGGTTCAAACAATTCATTGAAAACTCAACAAACTTTTTCAATTTTCCACAAAATTGTTAGTCTAGTTATTCTTTTAATCTTTACAATATTGCTATGTTGTTGTTGTTAGGTGCCATCAAGTC